GGCTCCGAGGTGCCATGACAGCTGCTCGGGCTTCCTTTTCCTTCAGCCCTCCCTGTTCCCACCGCTACCCCCCACTCCGTTCTAATACTTTGTAGTGTTTTCCGTCTGAAAGGACCAGCATACAGGATAAGGAATTTTTTTTTTAAGTAGGGCATTAGTACCATTTGTTTTTATTTTATTTTACTTTTTAAAGATTTTATTTATTTGTCAGAGAGAGAGATTGAGAGAGAGCAGGCACAAGCAAAGGATGCAGCAGGCAGAGGCAGAAGCAGGCTCCCCGCTGAGCAAGGAGCCCGATGTGGGACTTGATCCCACGACCCTGGGATCATGACCTGAGCCGAAGGCGGACAGCCAGGATAAGGAATTTTTACACCATTGTATCCTGGGTGACAGCAGATACTGTTAATACTTGCAGATGTGCACTTGCATTGTGTCCCATCTGTGGGTGGGTCTAATAGTTGGAAAGCATTCTGCTGTCCACATGAAGGGGGGGAGCCTCTGAAAGCTAGGTATGTGAGCAAAGCATCCTTCAGGTGATGACTTTGAAAGGGGACCCCATGGGGCTATTTTTATCTTATGAAGACAGTGAGAGGCGTGTGTACATGCTTATACTTCAGGTATCCTCAATTGTCAGGAACGGAGCCAAACCCCATTTGATGGGGCAGGGGTTGCGGGGATCTGAGCAGGAACAACAGATGTCTTGAAGGCTAGTCTCTTTCTTCTTTAGGAAGCCTCTTTCTTAAAACCGGATGCTCTCGATTTCGAAAGTACTGACAAGCTTTCCCAACCCTCAGCAGATTAGGAGCCCATTAGCTGGGCCTGACCTCTACCCATAGGAGCCACAGGTAGACAGGGACCAGTAAGAAGTGACATCTGGGGGCGCCTGGGTGGCTGAGTCGTTAAACGTCTGCCTTCTCAGAGAGAGACACAGCGAGAGAGGGAACACAAGCAGGGGGAGTGGGAGAGGGAGAAGCAGGCTTCCCGCCGAGCAGGGAGCCTGATGCGGGGCTCGATCCCAGGACCCTGGGATCATGACCCGAGCCGAAGGCAGACGCTTAACGACTGAGCCACCCAGGTGCCCCAATAAACAAAATCTTAAAAAAAAACAAAAACAAAGTGACATCTGGCCAAGAGGAAGGAGACAGGAAAACTATAGAAATCAGCTCAAGAAGTTAAAAAGACGATCAGGTCAGAGAGTGGAGGCGCAGAAGCTCCACACCACCCAGAGGTCCTTGAGGGTATCACCGCATGACTGTGAACCCTGGTTGATCACAGTTCCTGCTAAAGGACCAGAGAAATCATGAAGCAGAGCTATTTCTTTGATCCAAGCAAAAACACATCCAAGCCAAACTTTCACAAAAAACACTCGGACAAAACTGTAATCTTCTGTCTCTCCAGTGCATCCTTTCTCTTCCACACATTTAAGTTATTGATCGATCTGGTTTTGATGTTTGTGGCTGGTGTGAGGTAGGGATTCTGTTTCATGTTTTCCTATATAGGAGAACCTGTAGCCCTAACACCATTTGTCAGTAGTCCATCATAAAGAAAAATCTCCTGTGTTTCTCCTTTACACACAGAACACTTCTGATGCCACTTGAATGGGTGTTTTTCCCACACCAAGCAATTCTCCAATTTTTTCTGGATGCCAACTGGTGTCCTACAATTCTGTTCAATTCTGACACTACCTGGAGTGAGTGCAGACCCCACATGTTAAGGGCTCACCCGTCAAGACTGCCCCCAGCTTCCAGTTTCAAGTAGTGGGTTCCCAGGTTACCCACAACTTCTGTCCAAGTTGGCTACAAATCAGAGGTTCCCATGACCCTCTCCTTGGGTTCAGTAATTTGCTAGAGCGGCTCAACAGAACCCAGGAAAATAGTTTACTTACTACTGCTGATTTATTAGAAAGGACTTTTTAAAGGTTACAAATGAATAGCCAGGGGGCGCCTGGGTGACTCAGTCGTTAAGCGTCTGCCTTCGGCTCAGGTCATGATCCCGGGGTCCTTGGATCGAGCCCTGCGTCAGGCTCCCTGCTTGGCAGGGAGCCTACTTCTCCCTCTCCCACTCACCCCCCCTCTCCCACTCACCCTCTCTCTCTCTGTGTCTCTCTCTGTCAAATAAATAAATAAAATTTTTTAAAAAAAGCCAAATGAATAGCCAGATGAAGAGATACATGAGGGGAGGTCTGGAAGTGTCCTGAGCCCAAGAGCTTTTGTCCCAGACTTGGGGTGCACCACCCTTCCAGCACATGGATATGTTTACCAACCTGGAAGCTCTCCAGTCCCATATTTTTGGGATTTTTGTGGAGGCTTCATCACATAGCTATGACCAACTATTAACTCAATGTACAGCCCCTCTCCCCTCACCAGAGAATGGGGGACAGGGCTGAAAGTTCCAAGCTTATCATAGAGCCCACCAAGAGCCACTTCATTAGAACAGAAGACACTTGTATCACCCAGGAAATTCCAAGGGATTTAGGAGCTCTGTATCAGACATTCCTATCACTCAGGAAATTAGAAGGGTTTTAGGAGCTGTATATCAGGAACCAGGTCAAAGACCAAATATTATCAGAAACTAGGGGCAGAGACATACATATATATTTCACATCTATATAAATCTATAATATATATAATGAATATATATGTATTTATTTCACATGCTTCTTGCACACACACCATCTGCGGTGTTCCTTCTCCTTTTGATCACATTTCCATGTATGCGGGGTCTATTTCTGGGCTCTCTGTTCTGTCCCATTGGCCCATCTGTCTGTCCCTGTTCCAGTACTGCCTTCACTATAGCTTTGTAATTAGTGTAGGTAACGGCACAGGTTCTCCCACCTCATTCTACTCCGGGGGTGGCTTTGTTCTTCTATATAAACTTCAGAATCAGTTTCTCAAGTTCCTGGTGGGGCGGCGGTGGGGCCGGGGGGAGCTTCCCAGTTAGGAATCTTAGTGGACTTGCATTGAATTTATAGGACAGTTTAGAAAATGGACATTTTTATGATCTCTTTGAATATTGTTTCATTCCCATTCTTCCTGTTGTATCCTTCTGGAAATTCTGACTTAAAATGTTAGACCCTTTAAATATCAATATTATGTTTTTCATTTCTAGAAGTCCTGTATGGTTCCCTTAATTTCTGCTTGGTCGTTCTCTATAATCTCTTTTTCCCTGTTCATATGGTTAAGACTCACTTACTTCTTAAACTTGGTATTTCATAGTCTGTGTCTGATAAATCCCGTATCTGAAATCTTTGTCGGTCTGATTCTTCCGTCTGCCGTTTTTGCTGGCTCTGGCTTCTATTGCCTTGTTTCCTTGTATGTTGTGATAAAAAAAGAAAAACAACCAACAAAAAACTATGCCCTTATCATCTCTTTTCCTTGGAGCTTTATCCTGGGAATTCTTTGAGGCCTGGTTTAAAGTTGTTTTCCCAAAAAGAGGATTTGCGTTTCTTTCTGCTAACCCAGGAGCTCTTTAAATTAAGTGTCTGGCTTTGAGAGTTTTCTGCCTGCAGCTCAGTGGCAAACCCGCAGGAGGGCCGTCTGTGGATTCAGTCTGACCTGAGCCATATACGCTCTCTCACTTACTGCGTGACCTCAGGCAAGTCACTGGATCTCTCTGCCTGTCCCATCCTCTGTGAAGAAGCTATAAACCCCTAACGCCTAAGGCTGCTGTGAAGCCGAACTGGGGTAATATATATAAATATAGTGCTTGCAGGGGGTCCTTTCACACAGCTGGTAGGGGTCGGATGCTGTCGTGTTCCCCTGAGGAGCCCCCTCTCCTGCCCCAGCTAGACCGGGCGGCCTGGTTGGCAGACCCCGGCTCGGGTTCGGCCCCTTGCCTGGGGGATCTGAGTTAGAGTGGGAGCAGCAGGCCTTAGATCTTCCTCCTGTGGATTATTCTGCCTTCAGCTCTGAGAGGACTGAGCCTCCTAGAGCCTTTGAGAGATGCTTCTGCCTTCAGTCTCCACCTGTCTTGGAAGTCACTTGGGGCCAGGTAACAAGAAAAATGACATTTAACAGAATTGTTTTCCTCTTCAGATGCTGCAGGGTTTTTTTGGTTGGTTGGTTATGGTTTTTTCAAAAAATGTATTTTGTAACGACATGGTAGGACATTAATAACATATAGACGTTGCAGTTTATCATTTTTAATCATGGGAATATACATTGACAGTAATGTAACTGTAAAATAAAGTTGTATATTGGCATGAAAAAAATGTGAAGTCCTTTCTGTAACAAGGAATAGAAAAAAATAAAATTAGTAGTGTCAACTCCACTAGGGCACCTGGGTGGTTCAGTCAATAAAACGTCCCGACACTTGATTTCGGCTCAGGGTCATGAGATGGAGCCCCGCTTTGGGCTTTGTGCTCAGCAGGGTGTCTGCCTGGGACTTTGTCTCCCTTGTCCCCCCGCAACCCCCCACCCCTGCTCATGCATGCGCGTTCACTCTCTGATCTCTCTCTAAGTCTTTTAAAAAAATAGTATCAACTCAACTATATTGAGAGAAATGGGGGAAAAGGAAATATGTTTAGGTGTCAACGATGGTTATTTCTGCGTAGTGGAATTCTGCAGTCATTTCTTCCCCCGTGGCAGCATGGCACAGACGGAGGGTGGCCTCAGCACTCAGAATGTCTTGTGTGAAATCTGTACCCGTGTGGCCTCAGGCAAATGATGGGCTCTCCTGGCCTCAGTGGGCCCATCTGCTGGGTTTTGCGGACCAGATGAGCAGTGGGTTTAAAGCGCCCGCCCTGCCCCATAAATGGCCAGTTACTCTCACACATTGGCATTCTTGCCAGGTTTTTAAGACTACTGAACATGTACTCCTTTATAATCAAAGAAAGAGGCGATGCATGCTCTGCTGACAAAAATTGTTTACGTCCCCAGGTTGGGTGTATGCAGTTTCCAGACTCTTCCCTGATGATGCCAGGAAGGGGCCCTGAGACTGGAATACTTCGGAGCCACTGCTGGGGAGGGGAGGGGTGGGAGGGTGCTGGCAGGGGAGGGGCGGGAGAGAGAGCGGGCCGCAGCCTGGCTTCAGAGGCACTCAGCCTCTCCCTCCCGTCCTGCCCAGGGCGCAATGAGCCCCTGAAGAAGGAGCGGCTGAAGTGGAAGAGTGACTACCCCATGACTGACGGGCAGCTGCGGAGCAAACGGGATGAGTTCTGGGACACAGCACCTGCCTTCGAGGGCCGCAAGGAGATCTGGGACGCCCTCAAGGCCGCCGCCTATGCAGCCGAGGCCAACGACCATGAGCTGGCTCAGGCCATCCTGGATGGAGCCAGCATCACCCTGCCTCATGGTGAGCAGGCAGGGCCGGGCTTTCTCCCTGTTGGGCTGGGGGCCGTCGGGCTGCTTTGGCTAGAAGAGAGCCAGTGGCCAGCCACAAATTGGGAGTTTTTATCCAAGCTGCTAGGTGGCCAGGGTAGCCATTTGCTTGTTGATTCACGCAGCCCTTACTGAGCATGCACCAGGAGTGGGGACAAAAACTAAAGTGAGACCCAGACCCCGCTTGTCTAATGAAGGGATAGAAAGGCACCAACCGACCTCAAAGCAGTGTGATGAGAGCAAGCTAGTGTTGCTCAGGGTACTTTGGGATCACAGAACATCTGAGGCACTAACCTTCTGTTGGATGTTATTATGTGCTGGGCACTGAGCTAGAAGCTTCTACTGTAGTATCTCATTTAAGTTCATAACAGCCTTATGGGGCAATGTAAAGTAGAGGGTCACAGTGAACTGTAGAGTCACAGACCTGGGTTTTAACAAATGTCTCTGTTTTTGGTAGTGTGTCCCTGAGCAGGGAGCTCCTGGATTTTAAAGTCTCAGGAACTTACAACTGTAAAGTGGGGATACCCACCTCATAGGATGGTTGTTAGGACTCAGCAAGATATGCAGAACAGCCTTTAGTCCAGTCCCGGAACTTAGTAGGTGCTCAAGACACAACAAGTATATTACTGTGTGCAATACATAGTGCAGGAAGGAAACTGGGACCCACCAGGCTATAAGCCATGAAGAGTAGGCCCGTGCTTTCTCATTCATCCTGGTAACCCCAGCGCCCAGCACATATGCTCAGGAAAAGAGTTGTTGAATGAGCAAATGGAAAGTTACATAGTTTGCCAGCATTGAACAAGCCAGTACCTAGTAGAGCCAAGATGCCGGCCCACATCTTCCTGATTCTACCTTGAACTCTTCCCAGCTGCCTATCCCAGAGAGACCTGACTGTAGGGTGGGTTTAGGGACTGTGGGGTGGCCAGAACAGGTGTATTAGTTTGCTTGGGCTGCTCTAACAAAACACCCCTACAGATTGGGTAGCTTATTGCACAACAGAAATTTCTTTCTCATAGTTCTGGAGGCTGGGAAGCTCGAGACCTAGGTGCCAGCTGATTTGGTTTTTGGTGAGGGCTCTCTTCTTGGCTTGTAGATGGCCACCTGCTTGTTATGTCCTCACGTACAAACTGGGAGAGCGTGCCCCACTGTCTCTTCTTAGAAAGACACTAAGAAGACACCGGTTGGATCGGTGCCCTACCCAGATGACCTCATTTAACCTTAGTGACTCCCGTATGGGCCCCTGTCTCCAAATTACAGTGACATTGGGGGTCAGGGCTTCCACGTGGGAAATGTGGGGCTCCCCAAGCAGACTCTGACTGCCCCGCTTTTCACCCAGGCACCCTCTGTGAATGCTATGATGAGCTGGGCAATCGCTACCAGCTGCCCATCTACTGCCTGTCGCCGCCTGTGAACCTGCTGCTGGAGCACACGGAGGAGGAAAGCCTGGAGCCACCTGAGCCCACGCCCGGGGTGCGCCGCGACTTCCCCCTGAAGGTGCGCCTCTCCACGGGCAAGGACGTGAGGCTCAGCGCCAGCCTGCCCGACACAGTGGGGCAGCTGAAGAGGCAGCTGCACACCCAGGAGGGCATCGAGCCGTCCTGGCAGCGGTGGTTCTTCTCCGGGAAGCTGCTCACAGACCGTACACGACTCCAGGAAACCAAGATCCAGAAAGATTTTGTCATCCAGGTCATCATCAACCAGCCCCCGCCGCCCCAGGACTGAGGAGCCCGCGGACCCCTGGGCAGAGAGGCTGTGGAGGCCTCTGCGGGGCGGAGAGGCCCCCCCCCCGGCTGAGCACTGGGTGCCCCCACCCTGCCTCCGCGTGCTGGCGCTTTCTTCAGGGGCGCCTCCGGCCGCTTGGCTGCTGGGCCAGCCGTGAAGGGGCCCTGACTCCCAGGCGCCGGCCCCCGGGGCCCCCGGGGCCCCGCACCCAGGAAGCAGTGCTGCCACACACAGGCTTTGCCAGCCTTGTCGGAGAAAAGGCGAACGGGGGCCTTCCACCCTGCCTCTCCCCCGCAGCAGGTTCGGGCCACGAGCGCCAGCCCGGAGGCCCCCAGAGCCCAGATCTGTCCCCCGGTGCTGCCGGCTGTGCTCACTTCGGTTTTCTGCTCAGGGTCTGAAGCAGCTGCCGTCCCCTGCCCCTGCCCCCACTCCCTGACTCTGCCCTGGGCCCAGTGCCGGTCCCCTGGAGGGGAGGGGATGGCCCGTGAGCCCCAGGGGCAGGGAGCCTGAGGCCGGCCTCTGCCTCTCCCTGCCCCCCAGCACAATTGGCAGAGGTGGAGCGGGCGGGCGGCTGGACGGCTGTGCTGTTGAGGCGGGGGTCTGCACGGGGCCGTGTCCTGGCTGTAACCCAAGCGGTGGGGGGGGTCTGCAGCCTGGCCATGGCCCACCACAGGTCCCTGTGTACAGACATATCTGCATATTTATCAATAAAGCCTTTTGCTCCCTCCTTCTCTCTCGCCTAGCTTTGCCTGTGGGCTCCCCGGCCCTGCTGTGGAGCCAGTTCTGGTGTGGCAGCAGACAGTAGGGAGCTTCGAATTCCTAGTGTTCCAGGCCCTGTGTTCTCTTGGGTCCTCAGGACAAACCCTTAACCTCTGAGCCCACTTGGCTTCTTCTTTTTTTTTTTTTTAAGATTTTATTTGTTTATTTGACAGAGAGAGACACAGCGAGAGAGGGAACACAAGCAGGGGGAGTGGGAGAGGGAGAAGCAGGCTTCCTGAGGAGCAGGGAGCCCGATGTGGGGTGGGGCTCGATCCCAGGACCCTGGGACCATGACCCGAGCCGGAGGCAGACGCTTAACAACTGAGCCACCCAGGCGCCCCTCACTTTGCTTATTCTTAATGTGGAGGAGATGCCTCTTGCCCTGCCTCTTCCCTCAGTTGCTGGGAAGATTAAATGGGATATAGCAGATGTGAACGTGCTTTGAAAGCAGAGGCCGCGTCTCAGGAAGGTGGCATTAGTAATCTGCTGGTCTGCTCCTCTAGCGGGGGGGTGCTGGTCGCCTGCTGCAGCCCCCGAGCCGGGCCCTCAGGGCTGAGGTATGTGCCCAAATCCTGGAGACGCTGCACTGCACCCTGGGGGATGTGAAAGCAAAATCTTGGACAGATTTAGATTTTGAGCATGTGTCCGCTTACCAGCAAGGGAACCAGAGAGAAAAAGGAGCCAGTGCCCGGCCTTCCTTCGGGGAAAGTGTGCGTATCGTCCTAGGGGGACCTCTGATGAGGTGGTTTAGCTCAGGGTGAGCCACGTGAGCATTCCGGAACTCCAGAGCTGTGGCGTCTGTGCTCACTGGCAGGTTAAACCTGGGTCATGGCGGCCCGGGGCTCACTCCCACAGTTCTAGGTGTGGAGCTGAGCAAGTTCAGGGCTGCTTTTTCTCCACTGAGAGGATTTTCCTTCTCAGCAAGCATGGCTAGACCCCGGTCGGGGTGGCCTGACAAGGAAACCAGGAGGAAAGGATGATCAGAAGGAGCTGGTTGTCACCCGGACTCGGTACTGCACTCTGGCCCTCTTAAGGTGGCTTCCTGACACCATTCTTGAAGCAAGACCTTTTAAGTTTTGCCTCTGCAAAACTTGTTTGTCAGAGGCTAATGGACATGCAGCCACATACAGTGATGCCTCACTAGGGGGCGCTGTGGGACCTCGGAGAGGCAAAGGCCCTCATGAGCTGTGGGCAAAGAGGGAGGCACCTGCCCTGACTCCTGCCCAGCACCTTGACACTCCAGCCCAGACATAGCAGAGTCTGCCCTACCGCAGAGCGAGCAGAGCCTGTTCACAGGACAGCTGGGGACACAGACCTGTATTGGGTCCCCACTGTTGGCTTTCAGTTCCCCTCACTGGCACTGGTTGGGCAGTTTCCAGGCGTCCAGCAGGTGGCACTGTCATCAGGGTTAGGGGCAGCCAGTGGGTCCTTTGTGCAGCCCAGCTGCCGGGGCTAAGGCCCAGCTGGACCCAAGCACTCAGGACAGAGGCTAGGCGGGCTCCTTCCTGCAGCCCTGCTTTTGGGGCACTGGGCTCTTCAGTTCCAATAAGCTGGGGGGTGGGGGTGGGGGCAAACTGTGCCTGCTTCCCCCAGCTCCCTGGGGCTGCCCGGGGTGAAGGTGACAGGTCGGGGAGGCAGGTGGAGAATTGGGCCGGTGAGCTCATGGCAAAGGCGCCCAGCGGGGTGGGGGTGGGTGGCCTGGCTTATAAAGCCCCCGAGGCCCTGTGGCCTGCACAGGCTGGTTATAGACAGCACCATGGAGGGCTCTGAGGCGGTGCAGAGGGCCACGGCGCTTATTGAGGAGCGCCTGGCGCAGGAGGAAGAGAATGAGGTATGGGCACGGGTGTGGGGACCCCAGGGGATTCTAAGGAGATCCAGCTCTACTATCAAAGGAGGTAAGAGCCTGGCTGACACATCTGCAGTGGGAAGGAGGGCAGGGGTCCCCAGGGGCCCAATGGCTCCATTCCAGCTCCAGGGTGCTCCTGGTGGAGGGAGCAGCTGGAAGTAGGAGACTGAGGCTTCAACCCCAAGAACTGAGAGACAGTGGGGTGGGCGAGCCGAGCTGGGCTCCTGAGATCCTCCACCCACCTGGGCCTCGAGGAAGCGGGCCAGGCTGCACAGAGTAGGACAGCCGGAGTGCTGCCAGAGAAGGTGGGAGTGTGGGGCCCTGAGATCTCCCAGCTGCTCGGGGGGGGTTGCTGAGACGGGAGAAACTCCAGCATTTGGTCCCTGAAGAAGAATAAAGACTGGGAGCAGAGCGAAGAAGGGGTCCTGGAAAAGGAAGCATGGGTTTTCCCAGGACTACCAGCCGCACTTGGGGAGGCCTTTGGAGCATGCAGCTCTGGGCAATTGCATTTTCTCTGGGATAAAGAAGTCGGGGAAGGGGGAGGTGCAGGCTTGTCTACTCTTCATTCTGTTTAAACTGGTATTTGACTTAGAGTCTGCTCTGCCAAGTGCCAGGTGCTGTGAGGAATAAGAGGGTCAGTAGGGCCAGCCCCTGCCTCCTTACCAGCCCTACAGTCATTCTAGCCAGCATCCGTCAGCGGCAAGTCCACAGAGAAATGGGCAGAGTGAAGCAATGGTGAAATAGAGCTGTTAAGTCAGCAGGGAAGGGGCACAAAGAGTAGGTGAGTCGCTCTGACTGTGGGTGCTCAAGGACTCTTGGGAACGGGACAGCATTTGAGTGGGGCCTTCAAGGCTGGTGAGTGGAGATCAGGAAGGGAGGGAATTCCAGGCTAAGGAAAAGACAGGCACTAAAGGTGGGGTGAGTGATGGTGGGACTGTTGTGAGAAAGTCTGATAGTAGGTAGGGGCTAAGGCTGGGCACAAACCAGCGAGGGCCATGGGAGAGATATTTATTCTTTGGGCAGTGGGGATACACTAAGTGTTGCTGAGTGAGGGTGAGTGGTGCCATCTGACCTATTTTAGGAAGGCAGCTTGGACAGCCTGAGAAGGACACATTGGAGGGGAAAGACTGACCCTAACAGGAATGGGAGGGAGGAGATAAATCAGTTTGGAGGTAGGCTCCGTTCAAAAAAAGAGTGACTGAATGGGAGTGAGGAAGAGGGAAGGACCAGGACTCTGGTGGAAGAAGAGATGAGGACTAGGGGCGAGGGAGGGGGGCAGGTTTGTGGGTGAGGAGCTTGGGCTGAACCCGCTGAGGCCGGGCTGGGGCACCCCTGGATCTCTAGGAATGCCACTTCTCCCCTGGGGCCAGGTAGGTGAGTCATGCTGCATTGCCATTTCTGGAGTCCTGCCGCTGGACACAGAGACCTTCAGCAAGGGACACGGAGCAGTCCTCATCCATTCATTCACCCAACAAATATAGCAGCAGGGCTGTTGGGACACTGGGTGCCCACAGAGCCAGCCTTCCCACCAAATACCTCCTATGTGCCCGGCACCATGCTAAGCTCTGTACAGGCATCGTTTCATTTAATCTGCACAACGATCTACAAAGTAAGGTGGGAGTTTGTTTCGTTGTGTTTCACCCACTAGCACCCAGTTCAATAAACATTGAGTTCTTATTGTATGTCAGCCCCCAAAGACAAATCTGCAGCAAAGGACTAGAGAGTCTAGTGAGCCCGAGAGTCTCTAGGTGTTCCCAGCAGGTCCCAGCCCATCAAGGTTCTCAGAGGGGAGCCTCTGTCCAGCCTGCTCCCCCTTCTTGGTGTGGGAGGCGAAGGAGAGTCCAGAAGCCCCTGGGCTGGGGATCTGTCATGGGCGCATACAAGGTCAGGTCATCACTGAGGACTTAGGGGTGGGCAGAGATGCTGAGCGCCCCCTGTCATGATCCATTCACTCATTCATTCATTTATTCTCCAACATTCACTGAGCACCTGCTATATGCTAGACCCTGTCATAGCTACTAGGGTTACCAAAATGATTATGACCCAAGCCCACCCTCTGGATGCTCCATGAGGAACCCAGCCGGGGTCCCACATGCGGTAGTAGCTGCAGCCCAAGGTCATCCCTTGTTCCGGGAAGAAGATGCAGTGTTTCAGGTGAGGCCACACTGGGGACACCTCAAACCATGTAAGCCCAGCACGGAAGGGAGCAGCCTGGGAAATCAGCCCTGGAGGAGTATACCACCAGAGCTCAGTGGGAAAGGCACAATGCAGTTGAGAGCTCTGTAAGGGTGGCCATTCCTCCCCAGCCGCCATCTGGACTCCCCACAGAGATGGGGTGCCAGCATTTTGCAAAAAGTGGCTTCCTTTAAAACGGAAGAGGAGCCCATGAGGAAGTGGTCCAGGCAAGTCAAAACTACAAATGGAGAGGAGACTTGGAAGGAGTTTCACCCATCTAATTACAATGAAAATGAGGGGAATGCTGGGAGTCCCTTCAAACTGAAGGCTACGTAGCTGTGGCTCCCGTCCCTCGGGTTCCCTGACAACAAGTTCCCAGTCCCAGGATTTCATGGAGCAGTAGAATCTGAGAAAAAAAGTTGGTATCTGAGAGTTGCCGAATTTCTGAATTGACACATGAATCTATTTAAAAAATAACTTTCAACTCTTACCACAATCAGTTCATCAATGTGAATTTTTAATGGCAACAAAGAAATCACCACCATCATCATCATCATCTCAGTGCTTTGAAAGGTGAATATATTTAATTTCATGAAAACTCATTCCAGTAGCCCTTGAACTTGTCTTGCTGAGGACACACGACCGTCAGTGGACAGGTGTTTGAGCTGAGCTTGGGGTAGGGTTGAGTTGGGGAACTATGGGGAGCTTGGCTCTGGCCAGGGGCGCTCCAGGACCAGTCAGGAGTGGGGCTCCAAAGGGCTCTGAGGTCACACAGTAGGAGGTCTTTGGGCTTTCCTTGGAGTGGGTTGGGGGAGAGGCTACCTGCCTCCCTGGGTGCTGTGGCAGGTCCTGGAGCACATCCTCTCCTTGGCTCACCAGAAACTCCGAGGAACTGCCCAGCAGAAGCTGCCCATGGACATGCTGGTGTTGGAGGATGAGAAGCACCAC